ATACTTATTTATCCTGTATAATGATGACTGAATGTTTATTTTAAAAAAAATATTACTAAGAATGGTTATAAATACTGGTATAACTGCAATTGCATATACACAACAGTTAGAAATCATGCCTGTAAGTGGCAGAAATTAGTATGTAAAATATAAGCATACAATGTATTAGTGAACAAATGTACATTTCCATTGCCAGCACCAGCAGACCCCAAACTTTTTCCAGATGGATTTTTTACATTTTTGATAAATTATACATACAATCCATTTTGTGAGCCTTGTATTATAACTTTGTTATGAATGATGAAATTGCAAACCCTTTCCGGACACTTTTGCTCAAAAAAAAACATTTGACGGCACTTATCTTTCACTTCTCCATGTAAGTAATCATTCTCCCAAGAGGTAAAACAAACATACCTGAATTTAACGGATTTGGTTCAAAAGCACATCTCCATACTCTGGTATTATCATCACCAGGGTCATTATTCTTAGAATGACATTTGAGAAAATGTACAGGAACAAAACTTGAATGGGACAAGCCAGACTACAAATACAATCAGAAATCAGTTAATATTATTATTTATAAGACATTGTGTCAGGCATTGAATGTAATTGTTTCTCCTGATTTTCTTTTTAAATTACCAGTCATGCTGACCATATAATGCATTTTACTCTGTGACAGGTCTGTATGAGAATCTTCTATCATAATGGTATTATGATACATGTATCCTGGCGTCTAAGTCAAACATGACCATCTGCAGACTTTAACCAAGATACCCAAAAGTCACATTTGTTAGAGAATAATTCTTAGCCAGTAGAATTAGCCAATTGGGTCTGAGCCACACTCACTCACTCAGGTTGATCCATTTTGTTGGCAACCCCAGGTAGAATTTTAACTTTAGTCTAGTGAACTATGCTACCAGTGATCAGTTAATATGGGTATCCATACAAAACTTTGGTGAATGAATGAACGTATGGGTGAATGAATGAATGAATGAAAAATTCAAACTTAAAATCCAGCAAATATATACAAAACAGTGCAATTCAGTGGAAAATAAATGGTACAGTATCTCAATTTTATGAGATCCCACCCCATGATGAGTTACCATACATACCCCATGAATTTTATTTTTCTTGGTTGACGATAAACCATTATCTGATACTGATTCCAGTTTGATTTTCTTTTTTATCCCGTCATGATTACTTTTCATTTTCCTCTTTTCTTGTTTTATTTCAGATTGTTCAATTTTTATTTTCAACATGTGTCGTCTGACGATATGAAATATCTGAAACACAAGAATGAAGAGGTGATGTGTATTAGGAACTTAATATACAAGAATTTTAGTTAAACTTCAAACTAATGAGGTCTGTGCATGTGCATGCATGTACTAAGTTTCATTAAAATTTAATAGACATGTAACTGTTTTCTGACCACCTAAAATATGTTAATGTGTGGAAATTAGATAAACTAATATACACAAATTTCAGTGGTTCTTGAGAGACATAGAACCGCTGAAAACTGGCCAAATTGTTCCTGTGGATTTGTGAATGGTACTGCATTTTGTTAAATGTGAATATGATCAACTTTTATCTGATTGTAAAACCAATTGTCATAGACCAAAATATTATATATATGTTTCACATAAAATACTAGGCACATGCAAAAACTGAACAGATTTTGTCTCTGAAATAAGACTCTGGATGGACACATGCACAAAGTGAAGTATGTTTTTCCCAAGGTATAAATCTATATTTACGTCTTGGGCACATAATAATGCAAATACACAGGATAACCACAAACACTATAATTGTGGAATCTGAGTTATAATATTTGTTTGTATGCAGATAAACACCATAATGCATGTGATCTAGCAGACGATATTGTTTTGTTTTTGAGATTACTAATACAGCAATAGAATAAATACCAAATGATCTTTGAAGTGCTGGAGGGATGAAGGACCACAGGGAACATTTTGTAAATCCCTTCGTAGTTTTCTTTCAATATGGTTGGCTTCTAAAGCTGAAAATTGGCATGGCAACAAGATCGCAAACTGCTCATTCCAAGTGTCACTAAGCTGTAAAGTAATATAAAGCAAAGACAGTGATGAAAATTGAAATATGGAAACACAAACAAATTTATAACATTAATAAGTGTGTATGATTATGATAGTAACTCTATTCATGTATGACATAATAATAAATTGACATGTTACCATAAAATTTGTCACTGTACTTACTTTTAACCAAATCAGGTAAACATGTCTTAGAAATTTTTCTGGAGGTGTTATACCAAGGAACAATGTGACTGCCAGTCAAAAAACCCTAGCTAAGACACATACATGTATCAGGTACCCAACATATAAAAAAACCATCATATTAAGTTCATAACAGACCAGCCTAGGCATGTCTAAATATGTACATTTTAGTGCCTTTAAAAAAAAATGGCTGCCAATCATCCATTTTTAATAAAAATATATAAAATCTGGACATATATTAGACACCCAATGATGTAACCTTCATACCAAGCATGAAACAAATCAAACTAAGTGTGTCCAGTAGGTCCATTTTAGTACATTTTACATAAAAATTGGTCCATTTTAGTACATTTTACATAAAAATTGGTCCATTTTAGTACATTTTACATAAAAATTGGTCCATTTTAGTACATTTTACATAAAAATTGGTCCATTTTAGTACATTTTACATAAAAATTGGTCCATTTTAGTACATTTTACATAAAAATTGGTCCATTTTAGTACATTTTACATAAAAATTGGTCCATTTTAGTACATTTTACATAAAAATTGGTCCATTTTAGTACATTTTACATAAAAATTGGTCCGATGATAAAATTATTATATGGACATACATGTATACACTCCATGACGTAGTACTATTCACGACAGGTACAAAATGCAGGTTGCTTCTGATAAAATTTGAATTTTGTTATAAATCATTTAAATAGGACAATATGCATTTACTGCAGCCCATTCATGGCAATTTTATTGTTTTATAGGATAATTCCTTTAGAACAAGTTTGTAGAATCTTTTTACCACGACTGGTCTATTCTGCCACGCCCTCTATAGTTGTGACCACGTTCTTGTAGTGATAAATATGCTAATGAGCACCATGACTTGTAAGCTGCCAACCAATAAGAAAAGCAGCTTTTGGTCTGATCTATTCTACTCAACTATAATTCACACTTGGCCTGATGCGTAGAATCTTTCACACAAACGCCCACCTACTTTCTTCATTGGAGTGTTCCACTGCCAGGTTCCATAACATCACTGCAGAATTGAACAGTCGTGGTAATTTTGCAACTGACAACATTAAACAATTTAAGAAAAACAAGCCATGCATGGCACAGTACCCGTTAGTTGTCGAATTTAAGATATATAGTTTTGTTTATAGTAATATAACTGGAACATAAACATGTCAGGAATATGATTATGATGATTGTTTAACATTAAAATAATTGACATTTGTATCTGATTGTCAAACGAGTATTGAGAGATATTGCTCTGGAACAGCAATAATGAAAACAAAATCAGTCATTTTGAATACATGTATAATGAATATATAAAATTTGAACATAATCAGTCAAAGCATGTCAGAGATATGGCACTAGAGCTACATTTATTATTACAAAATGGCCCCCAGTAGGCCATTTTAAAAATAAAATGACGTGCATCAGGAACCCATAATGTCTAATGTATGTATCAAGTTTGAAAAAAATCCATCCATAAACAGCCGGGAAATGCTTGATTTTGATGATTTTTTAGCACAAAAATGGCCACCATTCAGCCACTTTTAATAGGATCGTCAAACTAATATATCTGTATATCTATGACATGATCTATAATGAATAATTAAAATTTGCACATAATCAGTCAAAGCAAGTCAGAGATATGGCACTAGAACCACATTCATTAAAACAAAATGGCCGCCAGTCGGTCATTTTTAATCTTATCTGAGAAACAAAATGATGTGCATCAAGGTCCTATAACGTATATATCAATTTTGAACAAAATCCATCTATAAACAGCCGAAAAATGCTTGATTGTGATGATTTTTAGCACAAAAATGGCCGCCATTCGGCCATCTTGAATCAGATTGTGAAAGAAATTGATGTGCATATGTATAATATCATGTATGATGTATGTTTGAAGTTTGATTGTGATTGGTCCAGGCATTTGTAAGATACAGGTCTGTACGCACACACGCACGGACAAACTGACGCATTTTGAGTCAGATTTACAGATAC